TAATCGAGGGGTGAGAACCAGAAGAGCGTAAGTGACATTTCACCAACTTTACAGGAGGGCCAAGACACAAATTGACCATAGTTTGATCTGATTTTGTGTACTGATTTCAATCTTTTATAATAAAAAATGTGTACACGCATGGATAACAGTATACTTATTGAACACTATTTTAACATTTATTCCGAAATTTTTTTTTTCCAAGTTTAAAATTATTTTTTTTTTATTTCACTTGCGCCTTTTTGGCACCAATGTTTTATTAAATTTTGCGTATAAAAACATGGGCACATCTGCTGACAATATGAACAAAACATTACATTAATGAGTTTAAAAGAAATAACAATCTATCGTGATAAAATAAAAAAATGGGGCTTTTTTATGTGATAAGTCACTTACGCCTTTTTGGCACCAAAGTTTTATTCAATTTTGTGTATAAAAAACATGGGCGCATCTGCTGACAATATGAACAAAACATTATATTAATGAGTTTAAAAGAAATAACAATCCATCGTGATAAAATAAAATTAAAAAAGAAAAAATTGGGCTTTTTTTTATGTGACAAGTCACTTACGCCTTTTTGGCACCAAAATTTTATTCAATTTTGTATATAAAAACATGGGTGCATCTGCTAAAAATATGAACAAAACATTACATTAATGAGTAAAAAACAAAAAAACAATCCATTGTGATAAAATAAAATATCGCATAAAAAAGCCCTTACATCAAATTAGTTAATTGAATGTGATTAATTTGACTGAAATAGTAATCTCAGGCACTTAACAATTTGGTCAAATGGTCGATTGAAAAGCCTTTACAGATGCCTTCCCTAGTGAAAAATATATTTGAAATATTTATTTCATGCTATACTACAAATACATTTACATATCACTAAACTGGTATACTTAAAGTTTGCTAAATTGAAACAACTAATTTTGTACTTAATGCACTTTAATTGTAAGAAAGTAGTGCTGAAGTATATTTTATTGTGCTAAAGTGGAACTTTTGCAAGTATGCTTCAGGTACACTTTAAATATCAGGCATTTAAAGACTGATATTATTCAAAGATCATACAATCCTCATCAATAGTGACATTAAAGCACATTTTAGGCTTAATATTGAGAAATGTGCATTGTGCACAAGTAGTACTCCAAATAAAGTTTCATTATAACGTTCATATCAGTAACTATCGAGTGATATGTCAGTAAATAGACAATAAATAAAGTAAATAAAATGTTAATAGATTTGTTTGAATGTGTGTCAAAGAAAGTTTCGGATGGAATTGTGAATTGTACATGAAATAGTAGCCTACTCCGACTAAGCTTTACAAGTCAGCCAGCCAGTCAAAGTCCACATAAGACTGTGGGATACTGCCATTTGTGCAGAGTTTAAATATCAGGCATTTAAAGACTGATATTATTCAAAGATCATACAATCCTCATCAATAGTGACATTAAAGCACATTTTAGGCTTAATATTGAGAAATGTGCATTGTGCACAAGTAGTACTCCAAATAAAGTTTCATTATAACGTTCATATCAGTAACTATCGAGTGATATGTCAGTAAATAGACAATAAATAAAGTAAATAAAATGTTAATAGATTTGTTTGAATGTGTGTCATAAAGAAAGTTTCGGATGGAATTGTGAATTGTACATGAAATGGTAGCCTACTCTGACTGGCTGGCTGACTTGTAAAGCTTAGTCGAAGTCCACATAAGACTGTGGGATACTGCCATTTGTGCAGAGTGAGTAAGTCTTTCTTTTTCACAGCAGTGATCCCAGGTATACATCTGTGTAACGTTTTACTCACTGCATTTCTTGTATCCGTTCCCCAGTCATCTCCTTTGTCTATGTCTGTCTGTCCCTTCTCTGCATTCTCTCTTACATCTATAGTAAAATAAAAGTAATATATTTAAAATACCTTTATTTCATACTAAGTATAGTTCAACTCTAATATATTTACTGGCATATTGCTCAAGACTTACTGATATAAAAATTATAATTAAACTTTATTTGGAGTACTACTTGTGCACTATGCATATCTCTCAATATTAAGCCTAAAATGTTTTAATTTCACTATTTATGATGGTCTTTAAATGCAAGATATTTAAAGTGTACCTGAAGTATACTTGCAATAATTCCACTTATCCGTCAGCATATTTTTATTCGGACTTAAGCACTACTTCAGCACAAGTGCATTAAGCGCAAAATTTAAAATTGTTCCAATTTAGCAGACTTTAAGTATACCAGATTAGTATACTAAAAGTACAATTGCAGGGTATTTTTATTAAGTACATAAATATGTAAATGGGTTTGTAGTATACTTAGCATGAAATAAATGTATTTCAAATACATTTTAGTATATTTATTTTTCACTAGGGACATACCCTCAGAATGCAAGTTGTTGGTTACTACCCGCTAACTAGCTACACCTCACTGACAATGAATTCTGGATATTTAATTTTCTCCCTCATCATCCAGCTCTGTCACAAAACAAGATAAATAATACATCTTCAGCAGTAAAAACAACTGGTTTCTTCTCATGGTTGACCTACCTGGCTCACATGTGGTGTCAGCCATTTTGACTCAAGTGCTATCCACAAGCTTTACCCACAGTACATTTCTCAGTGCCAAAGGGGCGCAAGTGCAGTTACGCCCTTTTGGCACCAACTGGTTTAGTATGTTCAGTTTTAAGTCTTTTGGTTTCTAATGAATAACTCTGAAATTAATTAGAAAGAGCTCGCCAAGAGTTTTCATTTGATATATATATATATATACAGTGGGTACGGAAAGTATTCAGACCCCCTTAAATTTTTCACTCTTTGTTATATTGCAGCCATTTGCTAAAATCATTTAAGTTAATTTTTTTTCCTCATTAATGTACACACAGCACCCCATATTGACAGAAAAACACAGAATTGTTGACATTTATGCAGATTTATTAAAAAAGAAAAACTGAAATATCACATGGTCCTAAGTATTCAGACCCTTTGCTCAGTATTTAGTAGAAGCACCCTTTTGATCGAATACAGCCATGAGTCTTTTTGGGAAAGAGGCAACAAGTTTTTCACACCTGGATTTAGGGATCCTCTGCCATTCCTCCTTGCAGAGCCTCTCCAGTTCTGTCAGGTTGGATAGTAAACGTTGGTGGACAGCCATTTTTAGGTCTCTCCAGAGATGCTCAATTGGGTTTAAGTCAGGGCTCTGGCTGGGCCATTCAAGAACAGTCACAGAGTTGTTGTGAAGCCACTCCTTCATTATTTTAGCTGTGTGCTTAGGGTCATTGTCTTGTTGGAAGATAAACCTTCGGCCCAGTCTGAGGTCCTGAGCACTCGAGAAGGTTTTCGTCCAGGATATCCCTGTACTTGGCCACATTCATCTTTCCCTCGATTGCAACCAGTCGTCCTGTCCCTGCAGCTGAAAAACACCCCCACAGCATGATGCCGCCACCACCATGCTTCACTGTTGGGACTGTATTGGACAGGTGATGAGCAGTGCCTGGTTTTCTCCACACATACCGCTTAGAATTAAGGCCAAAAAGTTCTATCTTGGTCTCATCAGACCAGAGAATCTTATTCAGGTGTTTTTTAGCAAACTCCATGCAGGCTTTCATGTGTCTTGCACTGAGGAGAGGCTTCCAAACACAGCTGGACTCAAATGAAGGTGTAGAACCATCTCAAGGATGATAAGAAGAAATGGACAGCACCTGAGTTAAATATATGAGTGTCACAGCAAAGGGTCTGAATACTTAGGACCATGTGATAATTCAGTTTTTCTTTTTTAATAAATCTGCAAAAATGTCAACAATTCCGTGTTTTTCTGTCAATATGGGGTGCTGTGTGTACATTAATGAGGAAAAAAAATAACTTAAATGATTTTAGCAAATGGCTCCAATATAACAAAGAGTGAAAAATTTAAAGGGGTCTGAATACTTTCCGTACCCACTGTACGTCATAAAAGCTTGACGCATCAAATATGACACTCAGCAACAATAACAACAACAAAAATATGCATTTATATATATATAAATATTTTGTGTAAAGGTTCAATAAATGGTTAAATAAAAATAAAAAATAATAAAAAATCAGACTATTCTTTTGGCAGTATTTACAGGGTTAAGATTCCCAAAGAGAAATTCCAGAACAAAACAAGTGTTTTTGTTGGCAATTCTGGTCAAGCTGGCCTGTGAGTTTTCATATTTCATACTAAGTATAGTTCAACTCGATTAATATATTTACTGGCATATTGCTCAAGACTTACTGATATAAAAATTATAATTAAACTTTATTTGGAGTACTACTTGTGCACTATGCATATCTCTCAATATTAAGCCTAAAATGTTTTAATTTCACTATTTATGATGGTCTTTAAATGCAAGATATTTAAAGTGTACCTGAAGTATACTTGCAATAATTCCACTTATCCGTCAGCATATTTTTATTCGGACTTAAGCACTACTTCAGCACAAGTGCATTAAGCGCAAAATTTAAAATTGTTCCAATTTAGCAGACTTTAAGTATACCAGATTAGTATACTAAAAGTACAATTGCAGGGTATTTTTATTAAGTACATAAATATGTAAATGGGTTTGTAGTATACTTAGCATGAAATAAATGTATTTCAAATACATTTTAGTATATTTATTTTTCACTAGGGACATACCCTCAGAATGCAAGTTGTTGGTTACTACCCGCTAACTAGCTACACCTCACTGACAATGAATTCTGGATATTTAATTTTCTCCCTCATCATCCAGCTCTGTCACAAAACAAGATAAATAATACATCTTCAGCAGTAAAAACAACTGGTTTCTTCTCATGGTTGACCTACCTGGCTCACATGTGGTGTCAGCCATTTTGACTCAAGTGCTATCCACAAGCTTTACCCACAGTACATTTCTCAGTGCCAAAGGGGCGCAAGTGCAGTTACGCCCTTTTGGCACCAACTGGTTTAGTATGTTCAGTTTTAAGTCTTTTGGTTTCTAATGAATAACTCTGAAATTAATTAGAAAGAGCTCGCCAAGAGTTTTTGGTTATTAAGGCTTAAATGATACCGGAAACTCTTTCCACACTGAGCACACACAAATGGCTTCTCTCCAGTGTGAGTTCTCATGTGGACATTAAGGGTGGGTTTATGTGTAAACCTCCTTCCACACTGTGGGCAGGGGTAAGGCTTCTCTCCATTGTGAATTCGTATGTGGCTTCTAAGGTTTCCTTTTCGAATAAAACCTTTTCCACACTCTTGGCATGTGAAAGGACTCTCTCCTGTGTGAGTTCTCATGTGCATTTTAAGGCTTCCTCTTTGAGTGAAACTTACTCCACAATGCTGGCAGGTGAAAGGGTTCTCTCCTGTGTGGATTCTCATGTGGACTTTAAGGTTCCCTTTCTTGTTGAAACTTTTTCCACATTGTTGGCAGGTGTAGGGCTTCTCTCCAGTGTGAATTCTTATGTGGACTTTAAGGTTTCCTTGTTGATAAAACTTTTTTCCGCAATGTTGGCAAGTGTAAGGCTTCTCTCCAGTGTGAATTCTCATGTGGACTTTAAGGTTGTCTAGTTGATCAAATCTCTTTCCACAGTGAAAGCAGGTGAAATTACTTTCGGTTGCTTTCTTTCGAGCTCTTTTTTTTGACACAGTCTTTTCAGTCTGTGAGCAACAAGAAGATTTTTCTTCAGTTTTGAAGTCACGATATTCTTCATGCTGATCTTTGTCTTTTTTTTCATTTAGTTCTTGACTCTCCTCTTTCAGCGCCATCAGGTCTAGTGTGAATAAAGACAAATACAAGTTTACCCCAGTTTAATGGCACAAAGCAACAACTTTTAGATATTAATAGCATCAAAACTAATTAAAAGCTTTGAACAGCCTTATTCCCCAGTACTTTTGCAAATTTCTATTGTGTTTTAATCCATCACGTTCATTAGGGCCTTTCGCACTGCTTTAGTTCCAGAACTAAATGTACAGTACTAAAGTACTGGGACGATTTTGCGCGAACTATTTCCCAGTACCATTTAAAGGGTCGCTTTCGCACTGACAGTGTGTACTAAGAAGTAACGTAAGCCGGTCGTCGGCGACGTCATTTGTGCACGGCGTTCAACAACAGAAACAAAGAAGAACAACATTAACAACAGGAGGATGGAGGACGCTGTGATTGGAGCTGTGTTTTTGTTGTGTCTCGCGGGTTTCACAATAATGGACATGGAAAGTCGACGTATACGTAAATCGATTGAAAGAACGGAAAGGAGGACTAAGAATCTCTAACGACAACTGGCAGTGCTACATTTGCTACAAGTGCCTGCACTTCAGCGTCCGTCCATCTATCGCTGTTCTCCATACTTGTGAAATCAGTTGACACAATGTTTACATTATGTTTACACGCCGTTTTAAATCATGGCGGGTGAGGGCATTTTCGTACGAGTTTGGCCAATCAATGTCTACTTGCGTCACGATTAGTACCAGTTGTGCTGTTTAGACCCTGCTCCGGAGTAGGAGCTAATTTGGTTTTCGAAAAAGGCAGTCCGGTACTAAAATCGCACCAAGTTCCGGCGGTGTGAAAACAGCAAAAAGTGGGTAGTTCCACAATTAGTTCTGGTACTATGAAAAGGTTCCCGCGGTGCGAAAGGCCCTATTATGATCAGCAGGGATTTAAATGGTGATAACCTGTGGTTAAGCACAATGTGAAATAACTTAATATGGATGTCGTTATCTCAACATAAGTAATTGCAAGCCCAGACCTTCCAACCTTGGAATTTGTTTTTTTTTTAGTACCATCATTGTGGTCGGAGGGGCTGGGGGGTTATTGGGTGGGCGTGACTGATAACATAGATTGTCATGTGTCTACTTCAAATTTATTTTGAGAGAGGTTTAATTTTTTTGGATTGGCCATTATTTAGTGTTATAAACACATATAATGTCCGTTTCATTCATACTGGATGCCTGAGGGAGCCCTCGTGCAGAAAATCCACATATGCGTTACAGAAGCAACAGAGGCAGAGCTCACGACGCTCCAGGAAATCCCTAATATCAGGGCTAACCCTAACCAGACTGCGACCATTTTTTTCGACCTGTGTGACAATTTTGTGTGCGGTCGCACTGGCGCGACCCACCACATTGTTCAGCTCATAAGCGCTGCCATTTCTGTTGCATATGTGAAACATCAACTAACGAAACTCAGCGCATAGAGCGTTGAGCCTGGTTTATACTCGCTGCGTCAGCAGGAGAGCGAAAGTGCGAGTAGCAAAAATGTTGCGTATATTAAGGAAACGATGGATGGTTTTTAAGCTAAAGTCAAGTAAAAGACTGCTTCTTAAACCAGAGAAGGCTAACATGTTGGTATTCTTGTGGGAAAAAAAACCATGCAATCACTGTCACCGACAACAAGTTTAGTTTTACTTTTCTTTTTGTTTTCATTTTGAAAAGCTTGTTATCTTTGCCGTTTACCTTACGTTATGCTATGGAGGTGCTCTTATTTTATTTGATTCCTCAGTGTTTGCAAAGGGTTCTGTAATTTATTAGTCGGTATACAATATGTGGTGTATGCCATGCCTCATCTTATTTGTTTTTGTTAATAAACATTTTGTAAGCTAGTTTGTCATTGTATCTAATTTGTCATTGTATCTTACCGTTTAATTGTTATTGTGCTTTTTAATTAAGAATAAAAATGAATCCACTTATAACGTAACAAAAGAGGGACTCCCGCTCACAAAATTCAAATCACAAATAATACTACTGATGAAAAAGAACGGGTTGAATGTTAACCACTTCCGTTTCCATTTAACTATAACCTATGATAAAATTTCATCAGCATGCATTGATTAATCCCATGTTGTAGCACAAAAAAATATATATAAATATTGCGACCAAATCATGTGCTTGTGTGACCAACTGAGAAAGTTAGTCACAAACGAGCGACCAGTGGGAAGAATGATTCTGGAGCCCTGCTAATATGGACAAAGCTTCCAGCTATAGCTGTAACTGAATAAAAGAAGACAGAAATGCTTTGAATGATAACATTCAAAGAGAACATTGAGACAAACTCTCTACTGCAACAATGTTTATCTGTGTTCTTAAAACCACCTCGGGTATTTTAATAATTAAGTATATTTATAATGCATTACTAATCGACATAGCCTTTATTGCAGTATAGAATATCTGCATCATTCTGTGACAAGCAGCCACATCAGATCAAGACAGAAGTTATTTTTAACATTCGTCTGATGTTGTGGGGTATGTTATAATTAGGGTTGGGTATTGAAAACCCGTTCCATTTTAGAACTGGTTCCAAATTTCCAAGAACCGCGTATTCTACGTGCATTCGGTGTAAAAGAGACAGCAGCCTAATGAACGTGGTGCCTGTCATTAAATTCAATCAAAGAACAAAAGAAAAGAATTCACTCATCTTGACTGAATATCTTTAATAACTTTAATTAATAATCTATATATATATTTTTTTTAATGAAAATTGCAGTGTTTTTAAACTTTAATTATTTTTTCTGTACCTGAAATTTGGTTCAGTTGTATTTATATGCTAATTGATTAGTTTGTTCCTATTTTATTACTGACTGATTACTTGTCTTTAACACTTTAATATTTGAAAATTATATTCTAACTGTTTTTGCGGTGGTATTTTTGTTTAAAGCATAGACAAAAGTTCCTCTTGTAGGCCTAAGTGTTATGTAGGCTGCTGATTTTTGCTCATGTTATTCAGCTGCAACAGAATGTTTTGTAAAAAAGACAATAAATGTTTGACTTATTTTTTTTAATTGGATTTTTTTATCTTATTGGAATTGATAAGAATTGGAATCGATAAGTAGAATCGGAATCAATAAAATCCAAACGATACCCAACCCTAGTTATAATGTTCTCTTTTGTTGGACAACAGGTTTAGAATCGCTCCGCATTACAAGTCATTACAAGGCAAGATGCTTGGCGTGTGTTGCTTTTTCAGATGCATGTGTTAAGACTGTAAAAAAAAAAAATATGTACGACGTGTCTCCACTTTCTTCCACTACAGAAAAGTGAAGCAAAATCTCAGTATGGCCGCTGTCATCTTGCATCATTTGGAGCCAGAGTCTGCGCAGTAGAAATTCATTTGGAGTCAGAGTTCGCATGGTAGTGATTGTGAGGTGGAGCCTCGCTATCAAAGTCTCACCCAAACTCCCGCAGACCATATCGCAAGATCACAATCATAATACCACACTAGGGATGTCACGAGAACCGATACTATGGTATCAAGTCGGTATTTACATTTTAAAGTCCTGCCAGATCTTCAGTAGCGTAAGTACCGATGTTACCGAAATTTGCGACTACTGAGGCTGCAATTCTTCCGGAACTTACGGGGGCAGGCAAGAGCATATGCCTGGAAGTGTTTCAGGTGATCCTCAAAGGGTAAAGAAGAAGAAAAAAAATGCCTACAAGCACACTGAAGAACTACATGTAATGTAGAAGATGGCAACGTGTTAAGCTCCTCCCCGACTCATTGACAAGAAAGGTGCTAAGAGTCAAATATGGAAGTATTTCGCATTGGAGGCTGATGACCACAGCGTTATTATTGTCATCCATAAAATGCATTGCTGTTCTGTTGTAAGTCATCTTAAAGATTCCTAAATGCATCTACTTCCGGGAGGCCAAATAAAGTGCTTTTGCTTTCGCCTAGAAACACACAGCGTCTCCCTGACATGGCTGCTTCAACACTAACTGCTGTTACTGAAACCACGCCTTCTTTCTTTGCGTGAACATTTGGGCAGCATTATGCAAATATTTCCACATAGTGAGGTAGATATGTGGGGGCGTCTTAGACCGAGTCGTTTTAGGGGGACGTGGCAGAGTCTTAACTTTGATAAAGAATATTTCTTTGGTTTTGAGACTTTAGTCTTTGCAACTTCAGGGATCTTATCTATGCACGATCAGCTTGTAACTTGAAATCGCATCATATGACCCCTTTAAGCCAGTATGCAAACGATGCCTTCATGCATTTCAAACCAAGGGAGGTAACACCTCGAATTTGGCGAAACACCTATAAGTCAGGCACCCCCGATCTTTTCAAAGAATTCAAGGTGAGTTTCAAGTCATATTAACATTATTTACAAAGGCGGCTGCTTTTAAATGAGCTATGAATATGATTGTGTGACATTTAAATTAAAGTGCGCAGCACTTGTGCTTTTAAAGCTATGTGCTCATGATCATGCACACAAAGTTACTGACTGTCTGACAGCTTACTGCTTGTTCATTCGTTGTGTATCCTTCCACGGATTATCCCTATTAACATTATTGGCTAATATTACAGGTTTAAATAATTGTTAATGGTTTTTAAAAATATTTTCAGCCTGCCAGTATGCAAGTGAATTAAGATAGCTTTGTTACACTTGAGGCGGAGGTGAAAAAGGCTTCTGGATCAAATATGGGATTGAGGTGGAACCCATTTGCCAATAGAAGCAGAGGCATCAAGCCAAGACAGGCCATCTAAGAAGTCCAAGACTGATTTGAAACATCTCCTTTTGAGTATCCAAGGAGAAAAGAAAGTTATTTACTTAATAGTTGGAGCCTAGCAAGTGGTTTTCATACTAAGCTATATGTTTACCTATTCATGTTTATACATTTAATTAATTTGCAATGCCAGTTATTTTAATTCTAAAGCACAGTATTGTTTTAAATACTTGAAGGCTATGTGCCACTGTTCATCAAGAAGCCATGACTTCAAATGGCCGGGTAATGCAACGGTAAAGTTGATTGCACATCTTTTTTGTAATAATACACTGTTTTTGAGAATTTAACATGTAAATGAAGCATTCGGGTGCACTCTGAAAACAAAATAAAGGGAAAAGACAATCTGCTTCAAGTACAAAAAGGCACATTTATACCAAAAACTGTTTGGACAGTGAACTCTGTTGTCATCAGTGTTCATACTTCTCTTTGTGAGCCGTGGAGTAGGCTAATTTACTTTTTGCAAATTTTGATGTTCACATTCGTGTGTGCATACTATCAACAAACTCCATCTTTTCACTGCGGAGGAAACAGAAGCTGCATCTGAAGTGGCATTAGATGTATTTACACAGACTGTTCAATGAAGCTGATGTGCCATAAATGCATTTACACCACAAAATTTCAAATGCATGAATAATTTTAGAAAAGTAATGTTTAAAATATTTTTGAACATACAAGTTAAAAATGTTGGGAAACGAGAAGCGCGGCGTTGCGCCACGTCTTTAAAATTAAAATACATTATTTTCTGTGAGTGTAGGCACACCGGCGGCGCCGTTTTTTGCGTCTGTCCGTGGCGCCCAGCTATGTCGTGTTGTACTTGTAAGAATTGTTCTAGAAAATGCCGAAAATTTGAAGCTACAGCACAGCAGCTTTTCTTCTTGGTTTTCTCTGATGCACTCACTCAACCAAGCGTTCTAACCACAGCCCCTCCCCACCCCCCAACCATTCGAATTTCTGTAGGCAGGAATTATTTGTGATATTCCAATGAGCCGCTTTGTGATATCACAAAGCCCGGAAAACAAACGCTGTAGTCCAAACGAGCCGTTTGCTGTAGTTCTTGAAAATGGATTTTTAAAAAAACAAAATATCTCCCTTTGGAGTGGACTTTGAGATTTGTAACATTCTAGATCTTTTTTATGCCCAAACATACACACTACACACTGACTAAAATTAAAAAAGTGAAAAAGCATAATAGGACCCCTTTAAATAAAGGAGTTAATGTTTCAGTATTATTGTTATTTTTTCCCCATGGTATAGACTTGGTATCGAGTATCGTACTTTTAGGTTGTATTCACACCAGGAAAGTCCGCTAGTTCACTTGCTTTGGTCCGGACCAATTACAATGTTGATTTTTTTTTAGTTTTAGTTTTTTTTAGTTCCGCGATGCGGAAAACACGGATGGAATTGCGGAATCCATTTACTGTATAACGCGGAATGTCACGGAATTTGTCAAAGTTTGGATGAATTAATCAAAGGAAGGTCATTACACTTAAATCGTGATATGGACTAGTATCTGTAAATATTAAGCCGCAAAAAGGCTATTTAAATATAAATCCTGCATGTTCTGTGTCTGTCTGAATCATAGTCTACGGTCTGAATGAATGTCACGAGGTTTTGTTTACTACACACATACTGAAGCACAGAGTTTTTATGCATTCAAATAATTAGACATATTAAAACACAGAATTTGGTAACAATAAACAAAGGTGAAAAAATAGAACATTTCATAAAACCCTAAACATAATTTTTGTTAAACGTTTTAATAGATTTGATGTTGAATTGTATACATTTCATTATTTAATTAGATGTGCTTTTGATTAATACTATTTAATTTAACCATTTAAAAAGGAGTCCAAAAAATTTAAATGGAAAAAAATAAAAAATGGAATTTGGGAAAAAATAAAACGTATTTCATAGGGCCCTAGCGTAGTTATTTATTGTGGTGATTTGAAGGTTGTCAAAAAATTGTTGTTTTAGTCTAGTAGACAAATAGCTGTATTCTGTACGTTTTTACTCATGTACGATCATTTTGAGCTTCTGGTACGATACTTGGACTTTGGCTTCACTTTTGAGGACTGGTGCGGCACACTTGTATGTGACCCGTTCCAAGTCAAATAAAACCTCTCATAAGACATTCCTCAAAAACATCCTTCATTTCTGCAGCGGTCGACATTTTAATGAGAATGAAAACTAACCTGTTTGTGTCTCAGTATCTTCATGTTTGACTTCTTCAATCATCACGTCTTCGCTCTCCTCTTTAATAAACGCCATCTTTATAATAGTGAGTCCCGTGGCTCTCAGCTGCTTCAGCAGGAGTTTGTCCCCTGTGTTCTGACACTCTGTCATGTTTAAGATGAGAATAATTAACAGAAAGACAAATAAATCCCAACTAAATCTCTGGGTGCATCTTAATCAGCTGCCTAAGCAGTGCACTGGTCAGAGTGATAGTTAATGGCCACACTGCAAAAAAATGGCTTATCTTACTTAGTATTTTTGTCTTAAATTTAAATTCTTGAATCAAGATACTTTTACTAGACGAGCCAAATTACTTAAAATATTTAGTCTTGTTTCCAGGGTGGAAAAAACTAAATTAAGCGCATTTTGCTTAAAACAAGTTAAATTATCTGCCAGTGGGGTAAGTAACAAGACAAAAATACTAAGTAAGATAAGCCATTTTTTGCAGTGCATAAATGAAAAATAAAGAAAGAAAATCCCAACCCTGTTGAAAAAACCAGCATATGCTGGTTAGGTATGTTTTGACGCTGGGATGCTGGTCCCTTGCTGGTTTATGCTGGTCATTTTGCTGGTCCTTTGCTGGTTTATGCTGGTCCTATGCTGGTTTATGCTGGTCCTTTGCTGGTTTATGCTGGTCCTATGCTGGTTTAAGCTGGTCCTATGCTGGTTTAAGCTGGTCCTATGCTGGTTTAAGCTGGTCCTATGCTGGTTTAAGCTGGTCCTATGCTGGTTTAAGCTGGTCCTATGCTGGTTTAAGCTGGTCCTATGCTGGTTTAAGCTGGTCCTATGCTGGTTTAAGCTGGTCCTATGCTGGTTTAAGCTGGTCCTATGCTGGTTTAAGCTGGTCCTATGCTGGTTTAAGCTGGTCCTATGCTGGTTTAAGCTGGTCCTATGCTGGTTTAAGCTGGTCCTATGCTGGTTTAAGCTGGTCCTATGCTGGTTTAAGCTGGTCCTATGCTGGTTTAAGCTGGTCCTATGCTGGTTTAAGCTGGTCCTATGCTGGTTTAAGCTGGTCCTATGCTGGTTTAAGCTGGTCCTATGCTGGTTTAAGCTGGTCCTATGCTGGTTTAAGCTGGTCCTATGCTGGTTTAAGCTGGTCCTATGCTGGTTTAAGCTGGTCCTATGCTGGTTTAAGCTGGTCCTATGCTGGTTTAAGCTGGTCCTATGCTGGTTTAAGCTGGTCCTATGCTGGTTTAAGCTGGTCCTATGCTGGTTTAAGCTGGTCCTATGCTGGTTTAAGCTGGTCCTATGCTGGTTTAAGCTGGTCCTATGCTGGTTTAAGCTGGTCCTATGCTGGTCCTTTGCTGGTTTAAACTGGTCCTTTGCTGGTTTATGCTGGTCAGGTGGTGGTTTAAACTGGTCATGTGCTGGTTTATGCTGGTCCTTTGCTGGTTTATGCTGGTCAGGTGGTGGTTTAAACTGGTCATGTGCTGGTTTATGCTGGTCCTTTGCTGGTCGATGCTGGTCAGGTGGTGGTTTAAACTGGTCATGTGCTGGCAAAGGACCATCTTAAACCAGCAAAGGACCATCATAAACCAGCTTAAAGCAGCAAAGGACCAGCATAAACCAGCATCAAAACCTAAATAACCAGCATATGCTGTTTTTTTTTCAACAGTGAACTATCACTACTAATTAAAGAACACAGATTATATAGAAAGTTCACATTTATCTATTTACCATTTAAGTTATACTCAATAATGCACTTTCATTAAAACGTTAGCAGCTGGTTTGTAACAGTTGTCAGCACGCATTTGTGTTTCTTGATCTCGCTGCATTCACACAGTTTTGAGCAGAACGTGAATCACTTTAAGAATCTTTTCTCTCATTAATGTCGTGTTTACTATGAACTGATTCACGACACAGGAGGCGAAATAAGACTAACATTGTCTGTTATTCACGCGCGAGTGCGCTTTACTCACACAAAATAACGTTCGTGAAATGCCAATTACGATATTAATATGTTCCATTCAAAGAAACGGGTCGCTTACAAAACACGATAGAGTTTAAACACTATAAACGCTTAGACCTCAAACCTTTCTTCAGCCGAATCACAGGAGCGCAGTGCGGAACAAACACATGCCGCCACAATAAAAGTCCTTCCCACAACCTTAAAATCCCGAAAGTGCATAGAAATACAAGTACAACAACGCAGCACTAATACATCACATGTCAGTAGTATCATTTTGAGAAAAGAGAGTAAACGGAGTACATCCAAGCTCTAAAGACTTAGTGTAGGCTATATGTTTTTTTTTGTTTGTTTGTTTTTTGCAGTAAAACAGAAAGATGTTGATTTAAATTACTGGGAGCCAACAAAAACAAATATTAGACAACAAGCATTTAAGATGGGAATTATATGAATCATTTTTATGATTAATTAGCAGTCAGTGGTCTGGACAAATTATACAGGCACATGTGTTTATACAAATTATACACAAAATACGTTTTATTTTTTTCCCAAATTCAAATTTGTTTTTTAAATTCCAAATTAATAGACTAACATTGTCTGTTATTCACGCGCGAGTGCGCTTTACTCACACAAAATAACGTTCGTGAAATGCCAATTACGATATTAATATGTTCCATTCAAAGAAACGGGTCGCTTACAAAACACGATAGAGTTTAAACACTATAAACGCTTAGACCTCAAACCTTTCTTCAGCCGAATCACAGGAGCGCAGTGCGGAACAAACACATGCCGCCACAATAAAAGTCCTTCCCACAACCTTAAAATCCCGAAAGTGCATAGAAATACAAGTACAACAACACAGCACTAATACATCACATGTCAGTAGTATCATTTTGAGAAAAGAGAGTAAACGGAGTACATCCAAGCTCTAAAGACTTAGTGTAGGCTATATGTTTTTTTTTGTTTGTTTTTTGCAGTAAAACAGAAAGATGTTGATTTAAATTACTGGGAGCCAACAAAAACAAATATTAGACAACAAGCATTTAAGATGGGAATTATATGAATCATTTTTATGATTAATTAGCAGTCAGTGGTCTGGACAAATTATACAGGCACATGTGTTTACACAAATTATACACAAAATACGTTTTATTTTTTTCCCAAATTCAAATTTGTTTTTTAAATTCCAAATTAAATTTTTTTTTCGATTCTGTTATTTTTTTCCATTTAAATTTTTTTGGACTCCTTTTTAAATGGTTAAATTACGTTTTATTAATCAAAAGCACGTCTAATTAAATAATGAAACGTATACAATTCAACATCAAATCTATTAAAACGTATAACAAAAATTACATGTTTAGGGTTTTATGAAATGCTCAATTTTTTTCACCTTGTTTATTGTTAACAAATTCTGTGTTTTAATACGTCTAATTATTTTAATGCATAAAAACGACTTTTATATATAGCCTTATGAAATGTTTTTTTTCTTTAGAAATTCTGCGTTGTGTATTTTTATTTTTTTCTGTTTGTCGAATGAAGGTATAACACATTAATTTAATTGATCTTTTAATGAATGAAAAAATTAAACACATTTTATTTTTTGGCAAACAAAGGGGATTTACAATTCAAATTAAAACATGGAAGAAATATTGTGATTATTCCTTAATTTGAGTAGTAGTAGTTGTACGTACATTCTACTGAACAATAGTAATACATTTCTGGCAGAAACTATATATTTTTGACTCAGAGCAGTTCTGGGGATGTTGTTCATGTATTTATGTCCTATTTAGTTAGAGGGCAGATGCTACAATCACCACGAGCGTCACGCGCGCTTCAGTATGTGTGTAGTAAACAAAACCGCGTGACATTCATTCAGACCGTAGACTATGATTCAGACAGACACAGAACATGCAGGATTTATATTTAAATAGCCATATCACGATTTAAGTGTAATGACCTTCCTTTGATTAATTCATCCAAACGTTGACAAATTCCGTGACATTCCGCGTTATACAGTAAATGGATTCCGCAATTCCATCCGTGTTTTCCGCATTGCGGAAATCATAGGGCCATAGGCGTACCTTGTGGGAAGGTCCAAACTCCACCTCTGAGTCGCCATCATCAGAATCCTGCGGGTTGCCAGATGTTAAGGGTCCTGAGGTGTGCACCAACCCATTTACAGCGTCTGTAATGAGCCGATCTCATTGCTTTGTTTTGATGAGGTTGACTTTGGAAAAAATATTATCGTACATTATGGGATTTTTTTCATTATTGATCGTACAGAGGTCAAAATTATCGTACGTCTGGCAACACTGAGCCAAAGCGTCTCGATCGCCCCCAGGTTACTGGCTGCAGTATAGGTCATAAACCCCACCCTCTCTATGTAATCTAATGGGACGTGAGACAAACTAAATAATGAAATGTCACTTCAAAAAAAATTTTTTTCCAAAGATGGTTTTTGTCATTTTATGTAGTTCTTATCATGCTAATTTATGTTCCAAGTGTTTGTTTTTCCAACAAGTTTGCTTTTAGATAGTTATTTTATGCTATAAAAATGGGGTGTGGTGTAAGGATGTCACAATACCAAAAATCTAGTAGTCGGTACCGATACCACTAAGGGTGTCTTGTTTGGTTCGATTGAATCAAACTCAAGTTAATTTCCCCCTTTGGTGCGGATCTTTTGGGCAGGTGTGAATAAAGCAATCACACTCGGGCGCGGATCAAACAACTATACCGAGACCCAGCTGAAGAGGTGGTCTCGGTCCGCTTCCAAACGAACTCTGGTACGGTTGAATGGATGTACCAATGAATGGATGACCTTAAGCACACGTGCTATTTTGTTTACAATTTATGGTTCACTTGCATAAAGAGCAGTGTGAAAGCAAACCGCACCAAATTAAAAAAATCAACATTGTATTTAGTCCGGACCAAAGCAAGTGAACTAGCAGACTTTCCTGGTGTGAATACATCCTAAAAGTACGATACTCGATACCATGGGGGGAAAAATAACAATACTAATTGATGAATGACTAATGACTCGCTCATTAAAACCATCATTTACTGGTGGTTTGGTTTCATATTTAAAAGTATTGCATTTTCCCCACCATTTTTAACTTGTATGTTCAAAAATACTTAAAAAATTAATTTTATAAAATTATTTATGCGTTTGAAATTTTGTGGTGTAAATGCATTTATGGCACATCAGCTTTATTAAACAGTCTGTGTAAATACATCTAATGCAGCTTCTGTTTCCTCTGCAGTGAAAAGATGGAGTTTGTTGATAGTATGTGCACTCTAATGGGAACATTAAAATTTGCAAAAAAAATAAATTGGCCACCGTGCTGCAGCTCAGTTTCAGGGTCTTGGCAATCTTCTCATAGCCTACGCGGCTACGCCATCTTTATGTAGGGCAACAATTATTTTTTTCAGATCCTCAGAGAGTTCTTTGCCATGAGGTGCCATGTTGAACTTCCAGTGACCAGTATGAGAGAGTGAGAGCGATAACACCAAATTTAACACACCTGCTCCCCATTCACACCTGAGACCTTGTAACACTAATTAATTTAATGGTTTTTAATGGTTAAATTACATTTTATTAATAAGAAAGCATGTCTAATTAATTAAAATCATGAAACTTAAACAATTTAACATCAATTTATTAAACATTTAACAAATATTACATGTTTAGGGCCCCATGAAATGTTTTATTTTTCCAACCTTATCTTTTATAGTAACCAAATTCTGTTTTAGCATGTCTAATTATTTGAAAGCATAAAACAAGTTTCATTTATTCTTACAATAGCCTTATGAATTTTTGCTCAGAAATTCTGTGTTGTGTAATTTTAGTATATTATTTTAATATTATTTTAATTTAATATTACAATTAAAACTTTTAAGAAATATTGTATGCTTATTCCTTAAAAATAAGGTTTTAATCATTTTAGTAGTAGTAGTAGCAGTACATTCTACTCAACAATAGTAATATATTTCTGCCACAATGCCCTCAAGTTAAACCGAACTTTTATTTTGACGTGTTGCCGTGAATACCATTACATTTCTGTGTGTGTATGACATGATGATCGTTTTACTCAAATGAAACGGTCAAATGCTGATGAAGTGACTCTCAGAGCAGTTCTGGAGATGTTATTCATGTGTTTATGTCCTCATTAGTGAGACGGCAGAGGTTAATATCACCGCAAGCGTCACAAGCGTTTCAGTACGAGTACTACACAAAACCGCGCATCTGCGCCATTCATTAACACAGAGACATGCAGAATTCATATTTAAATATGAATCGTTTTGTGGCTTGAGTCCAGTTAAACTACTTCAGTAGTCAAAAGTAATATCCACAGGCCATCATTTTTGTGATCTTAATGAACGTGATGGATTAAAACACAATAGAAGTTTGCGAAAGTACTGGGGAACAAGGCTGTTCAAAGCTTTTAACTCCTTAACTGTCACCGTCCCACCTGTGGGACGTTTGGCACTTTTTTTCTTTTTTTTCTTTTTCTCTATCAAATCTTTTAGTAATCATCATAAATTATATATCATTTGAAAGCTTAGAAGCCCTGTGAAAACCATTTTGAAATCATACATTGCGTTACCATGGAAATGGTACTTTAAAATCTTTTGGCGGTCTCCTCCCCCTTAGTGGGCGGTGTCAAGTGTCATATTACAAAATGTATTACGGTATTTAACAATCAAAACTTTTTATAATCTTGACAAAATGCATATCATTGGAAAGTCTCAGTATTCAATATTTGGTGGTTATTTTGAGACGGAAGTAAGATTTACAGAGAAATCTAGACATTTGTGACGACAAAAAAATGCATAAAAAAATTCAACGGAGTTTGGATGGCACCCGGTGGCTGTTTGTGGTATAACGCCCTAAATAAAATCTCACGGGAACCTCAATTTTTTTCATATCAACTTCAAATTTGGAACTGAACTTATTTAGACATAAGGCTTTAATTTTATACCAATTTTAGAGTAAAACCTGTTGTGTAAAGTATTTACAGTATATAAAATAAAATTTGTATAGCGCATTTTCTTTACAGTAAATTTAAACGTCTATAACTTTTTGATACTTGAATTTTTTGAAAAAATGATTTTGCAATAATCTGCTGATTTTCTTCTTTACAAAGAGACCTACCTTAGGTCTGTATTCCAAAGTGTTCATAAATTACAACAATTTA